TGACATACTTGTGTCAATTGGTCATCAAGCTCTTAGGGAAACAGACTCTGGCGGTTCTGTGTGGCAGGACACTGCCAGCTCTGATCTCGCTCTTTGGTTGGGTTTTTTAATGTAGGATTTGGACAAAAAACTTCTGAAGCTAAACAGACAAATACAAAAGGACGAGAGGATTTCTTCCAATCCAGTAGTGAAAGTCGTGTATGGTGACCCAGCCACTTTCCTGTCCCAGCTGCCAAGGGACAGTCACATACATCACTCCAAGATGTGGAGCTGCCGGAAGAGGATTTCAGTGGAGAACCTGGGCCATGTAGTCCAGCAGAAGAATGCCAAGGACAATGTCCCTCTCCTTTGGAAGTTCCTGCAGAAGGTGGGTGCGACACAGGGATGAGGCTGCAATGGTCAGAGATCAGTTCACAGAACCAGACTGGTTGTGGCTGGAGGGGACCTCTGGAGGTTGTCAGGTCCAACCCTGCTCGGGCTGGTTGTCCCTACAGCCAGTTACCCAGGACTAAGGCACCACTTGATTATACAGTCTCTATTCTCATAACTTTAATCTCGAGTACTGCACATGTAAAATAGTTTTTATTACAAATATTTCAAAAGTAATTCCATGGGAAGTATTCAAACCTGGTTCATCCGGGAACAAGCTTCCTCACAGGCCCCCTTTCCTCTTCCAGGAAACAGAACTGAGGCTGGTGAAGTTCTTACCAGAGATTCTGGCTCTGCAGAGAGAGTTGGTGAGGCGATTTCAGAACACTGCTGATGTCAAACATGGCTCCATCAGAGACTTCCTCAACGAACCCCTCTCAGGTGAGAAGACTCTGAAAAAACTCTAACTGGGGAAACAAAAAGCACCGGATAGTCCAGTTGGAAATGAAGGTGGAAAGTTCTCTTGAGCTGCAATCTTAAGCCCTCATTTTCCTTTCTTATGGAGACCTTAACCCTGGAGTTAAACTTGGAAAAGTCATCAGGTGACTTTAAAGACAATTAAGCACAGGAAGATTGTGCACAAGGGACAGAGGGGACTCAGTTCAGATAGGCAAGATAAATCCCTCAATGCAGCAGTGCGTTTACTTAACCTTTTAAGCTCTGTCCTAGAGTAGGGCCTGCCTAAAGGTGGAAGAGATGTCCTTCCATTCATGAGCAGCATGCAGATGGTTTGTGGTAACTCCTTCAGTTGGACTTAAGCACATCTTTCTGTTACTCCTCAGATGTGATGAGAGAACTGTTACAGAGGAGAGTGAATGTGTTTCTGTCTGTCTGGAACAAGCTGAGAAGCTCACTGGACACCAATGGTGAGTCCTCTTCTTTCCCAGCATTGTTTTGAGGGCGATAGGAACAAGGGCTTCCCAGCTGTTTAACAGTGCTCCTCTGCTCTTCACCAGTTCAAGTTCCTTCTATCAAAGATGTTGAGACATATGCTCAGAACTGACCCTGCCCATTAAAGGTTTGGGAAGATCTGGGTGCAGAGGGAAGAATTTGTTTCCCTTCTGTGAAAGTCTCGCCTGAACTTGTTCCCTTTCGTGCTTATCTATAAGGGAAAGAGCACTGCTCTGCTCAAGTTCTGTACTTTCTCCTGACATGGGTCAGCTCAGGAGAGGCTTGCTCATCGTGGGCTGGCTCTGGGTCACCTCAAGCAGTCTTCTCTGCCTTTTATTTCAGGGGAAATTAAGCTTCCTGAAGGCTACTGTAAGGCTGACCTGACCCTGGACAGCAAGTTTGAGGTCCTTCTGCCACGTCGACGGGGACTGGGGCTCTGCTCCACAGCGTTAACCAGTTACCTCATTAGTCTGCACAATGACTTCATCTACTCGGTGAACAAGCACATCAAGCAAGATGATAGGTATGTTGCTAGGCATTTTGGGGGGGCTCTGTTGTATTACCTGCTACAGCACAACCAGCTTTTCCTGCTTCATAAAGGCTTCTTGCTCTAAATGGAGACTGTTTTCTCTTCTGCAGGTACTTGATCAGTCCTTCAGAAGTGGCTGACCTGCACTTGATCAGTTATGAGGCTGAGAAAGACCTGATTCCTCTGATCCTGTCCAACTGCCAGTACAGCATGGAGAAGGGAGGGGAGACGTTGCAGGACTTTGACTTGGAGAAGATCCAGCAGCAAGTCATCAGCAAATTCCTGCAGGGGAAACCACTCATCACCCTAACGGTAGGACAAGGCAGCTTAGCTATGCTTCCTGCAGACAACTTCTCAGCTGCTGCTGGAGCCCTGCAGTGTTTGCTGCAGCTGGGCATGCGCTGTAATGGGACAAGCAAAGCTTTACAGCTGTGGGTTTCTCTCCTGACAGGGAATACCCACCCTGGTGTACAGACATGATCGGAATTACGAACAGCTCTTCAATGATGTCAGGAATAAGGTGGATCAGGTGGGTTTCTGCACTGGAGGAAACGGGGCAAGCACATGATCCCTGATGTCCCAAGAAATGTCAGGTTTGTCCTCTGAAGGCTGGTCCACTAATCGCTCACCATGCCTTGAACGGGTGCCCTCTGTCAGTCAGGATTTAAGAAAGAAAGGGATACACTTAAGCACTGTCAGTTTCCTAAATCAGGGCCTCTGCCATCTTCCATGGCTTTAGCAACTTGAGCAGCAAATAAGGATTGCCTCCAAACTAATGCTGGCAACTGCTTTGACTTCATGGTTTTCAGAGTGCTCTCCCCAGTTCTGTGATGAACATGATCAGTGGGGAACTACAGTCTTACAGTGATGTCTGTGATGCTCTGTCTGTCACTGAAATTACCCTGGGATTCCTGGCCATGGCTGGAGAGTATCCAGAAATGCTTTTGACAGACTACATCGAGAAAGTTCTGCACATGGGTGACCAGACAAACCCTCACGTACTGCAGGTGAGTCCTGAGAGCAAAGCTCTTATTATTATGGGATAAAATCCAGCCAGTCTGATCTCCAAGCCCAGCACAAGTTCAGCTTGAAAAGGTGATAGAATTCCCTCTCCACTGTATTCAACATCAGGGAGGAAACAATTTTCACTTCCCCTGCAACCAGTGGGAGCATCTAATAGTTTGTGGTGCTCAGCAGGTTCTTGCAGAACCCTACAGAAGGGTCAGGTGCAGGATGTGCAGAAGGTCAGACTTCTCTGCAGATCCAAGTTCTTCTGTCAGCACCAGGAAGGAGAATTCTCAATTGAGTGTCAGCATAATTAGTTGCAGTGCTAAAACTGAGAAAAGGGAGAACTCTCAATTATGAGTCAGCTTTCAGTGACACTGGTTTGCTGCTGCTGAGCAGGATTGAAAATATCCCTTTACCTCTCAGAAGTGGTGACAGGGCAAGGTTTTATCCACTAATGATGTGTGAAGAGGCCCTTGACTGATAAGGGCCAAAGGCACCATGTTATAACAAGTACTTGTGACAGGGCCCAATCACTTTCCCACTCCCTTTCATGATGCCAGAAAGATGGCTTATTGAAGGCAAAATGGGGAAGAGGGAGAGAAGCCTATTGCAGACCTGGGTGAAAAGGGCTCAGTGAACTCCCTCCCTCTGCCTTGTGCTCGGCTGCATGGGCATGGCAGGATGTGGCCAGGTTCCTAAATACATCCTTTACACCCAGGGTCACTCCATAGATGTGTTTTCTCTTTCAGGCCCTCAGACAATGCCACCTAAAGCACAACATAGCCCTGTGGCGGCTTCTCTCTACCCGCAAATCTGAGCAGCTTCTGCGCCTCAAAAGGGTAAGGTACCCTCATAACGTTAACTGTCTCACCAGCTTTTCCCTCTCCTCCAACAGAAGTTGCTCACATGTGTGTGTTCAGTTTGGTTTTATTCCCTAACTGCATTTTTAGGACCCTTTTGTGGACATCAATGCTGTCTACAAAGCCGAGCTCACTCCAGAGGCCTCCAAGCTCCTCACCACCTTCCTTGTAAACTCAAGGCTGGAAACCTTCCTGCAGGAACTCCATGAAATGATAGTCTTGCAGCTGAGACACATCCACGCTGTGGATGAATTCAGACCCAACTGGAGGTAAGAGCTGTGTAGCCCAAACACACCACAGTTGCTAACTTAGGCTGCTCTGGCTCTGAAAATGCACGTGATGGAAATGGTTCCCTTGGCAAATGACTGCCCTGCCTGACACCAACATTAAGAGCATTCAGCTCTGAGCCATACTGCCTGTGTCTGGTATGCATAACTCTTCCTTATTTTACACAAGGTGTTTTGGGAGCGCTGCTGGAATACACCAGGAGCTGCTGTTCATGGGCACCAGACACAAGCCCTTCTGCAGTCACCTGGATGAACGCACCCAGCTTGGTTGTGACCTGCAGCCTCCCGTTGCTGGGTTCTCTGGCAGGCTGTTAAAACAACTGTGCTCAGGAACACGCTACTGCCATGTGGCACTTGCAGTTTTCTATACACCGTTTATTAACACTACTTCTGCTCTGTTTTCCAGCCTGAAGGAATCGCTCCTGCCTTATCTTGATGCAAAACGCTCCGAGTTAGCCACAGAGCTGGAGGAGCTCTTCCCGGACGAGATTTTTCTCTCTCAGGTTACCGCTACCTGGAAAGCGGCTGCTGTCTTCAAACGGGAGCGCAGGGAGCGCTAGGCCGGGCAGCAGCACGGGCTCGGACCGACGGGCCCAGGCAGTGCCACTGCCGCACACACACGGTGCTGGCGCCCTCCCGTGCCTGCGCTCCGGGGCTTTGGGCTTCGGCTTCTTTGCTAACTTCTGCACCCCTGGGCTGGGGCAGAGAGCGGGGGGGGGCTGCAGGAACACGAAGGCCGCACCTGCGAATGGAACCTTCTTGAGGCATCCCCCCTGGCCTGCTGCAGGTGAGGGACTCCCGCAGAGCGCCCTTCCCCGGCGATGGGGCTCAGTTTTGCACTCTCCTTTCCCCTGTCCCCTCGCTCTCGTGCGGCTGCACCGGCACCACGGGCCCAGCCCGCCTGAACCCCGCCGGGCCCCGGCGCTGTTTCCCAATAAAGCGCCTTCTCTCTCCCGCGGCTCCTCCCGTTCTTCCCGGCCGCGCTCCGGTGACGCGGGCGGTGACGCGGGCTTCCGGTGTGCGCCATGGCGGCGGCGCCACCGCCCGCTGCGCTCCGCCGTTGGGAACGGTAACGGCAACGGCGCGGCCTGCGCATGCGCGGGGGGTGGAACGGGACGGGGGGGGTGGTGGCCATGGCAACCGTGCGCCACTGCGTTCCGCGGCGGGGCCCTGTCCGCGGTACCGGGCTGGGGTCCCCTTCCCCGGCCAGGCCCAGGATGCCTTCACCCCTGCCCCGCTCAGCCCTGCCTCTCATGAGGGGTGTTGCCGTGGGCAGCTCCTCCCTTGAGGAGAAAGCGCAGGGCCTCCGCTGTCCCCACAGACCCTGCGGCCCCTTGAGCTCTGCCTCAGAGCTGGGGCCTGGGGGCTCCCCCTGCGTCTGCCGGCCTTGGGGCACAGCCTTGGAGCCGGCTGGGCAGGGCCGGGCCGGGAGCCGGGGGAGAGGCACCCGGTCACGGCGGCTGGGTGCTGGTTCTCAGGGAGCAGGCCCGGTTAAGAGCCAGCGTGGTCGAGGAGGACACGGAGCAGTGGCAGAAAGAGTCCAGCTTCCCGGGGCTGGAGCGGGTGGGAGGCGTGGACTTGTCTTACATCAAAGGAGATGAGAGCAGCGCCTGCGCTTCCCTGGTCGTGCTCAGCTACCCGGCTCTTGAGGTAACCCTGGCTCCGAAGGCTTGTGTCCGGGTGTGGAACAGCGGGAGGGCGGTTATAGCAAACCTACACAAAGGCCATCACCTGCTGAAGGTCCCTTCCAGCCCAGAGCTCTCTGTGCTGCTGGGTAAGCTTGGCAGGGTGGGGTGTGAGCTGCTCCTGACTGCACGAGGGTTGTAGGAACGTACAAGGTGGGGAGAGAGCTTTAGCGTGCGCTCAGGTTAGCTATTGCTTGGCTTAGTGACCTCATGAGATGGGCTCCATGGTCAGCACAGAAGACTTTAACTGATTTAAGTGTGTGCTGGAAAGAATCGGCCTCAGCCACTACTCAGAAGGAGATGAAAAGGACCATTGTTACTCAGTGCTGATCAAGAGAGGGAATTAAAGCATGTGTAGCACTCAAACTGCAGCTGTCTTGGTTCTGAGTTCTTGCTGGGAATCAGCTAATATGGGATATAACATTTCAAAACCTCCATCAGTCACACCACCCCACAGTCATTTTACTTGAATTAATAAAGATTTTTGGTTTCTTTCCCAGCTTTCAATATGATATAAAAGTTATCTTTAACTATAAAACCTCTAACAAGCAGAGAAATAAAGTTTGATGCTGGCCACTGGGATGTTTATGAACTGAAGTTCAAATCCTGCCTTGCTTCTTGCCTTGCCCTGCACACTTGTGAGTGTTGTCTGGGCTGACAGGGATGCTTTGGGCTTGCCCTGCATGGAGCCAGACACCCTTTGATGATGCTCTGAGCGGGTGAACTTTGAGCTCCCCCCTCTGTCAGTTTAAAGAGCTGCCCTAATGTTTTCCCAAGGACTCTGCTCTCAAGCAGGGTACGGTGATGTCCAGCCCTCCTCTCAGCGATTATTGTCCACCCCTTCTGTCACTGAGAGGCTGACACAACCCAATGGCCTCAGCGCTGCGGGAGAGAGTCAGAAGCTGTGTATTTTAAAACAGATGGGATGTAAACCAGAGGAGAGGCCTCTGAAGCAGCCAGGAACAGACCACAAAGTCCTGGTGGTCACTGGCTCTGCTCTGCTCCCAGGTGCTGTATGAGGATTGCCGGATGGTGGCTGTGAGTGCCCCGTACGTGGCAGGATTCTTGGCCTTCCGGGAGGTCCCTTTCCTGGTGGAAGCTGTTCAGAGGCTTCAGCAGGAGGAGCCCAAGCTCAAGCCTCAGGTGTGGCACATTTCTCTGTCCTGAGCTGGGATGAAGAGAGTCTTCTTCCTCACAGGACCAGTTTGCTTGGCAGAGTGGTGCTCAGTGCATAGGAAATAACATTTTTGTTCTGGCCTTTTCAGGTACTTCTTGTAGATGGGAATGGCCTGCTCCATCCCAGAGGTAGGACTTCACTGGAGAGCCCCACTCTGCAGGGTCCCTGTGCTGCTGCTTGAGATTCCAGTTCTCTGGCATCCTGCGGTTACAGTGACTCGTTGTTGGCAGGGTTTGGTGTGGCTTGTCACCTCGGAGTCCTGACAGATCTACCATGCATTGGAGTGGCCAAGAACCTCCTGCAGGTGGATGGCTTAGCCAAGGATGAGCTGCACAGAGAGCAGGTGAGGCCAGGCTGGGAATTTATTTCCCCAAAGAACTGGGACAGCAGCATACAAGCACTTCCTGACCAGCTGAGTTTGTGTGTGTTCATCCCTAGATCCGTTCCCTGCAGAGGGAAGGAGATACATTCCCGCTGACAGGCGCTTCGGGGAGGCTGCTGGGCATGGTAAGCAGTGTGGAATTTCCTATTTGCTTGGCCATCAAGTCTTCCAGCTTTGTGTAGCTGGGAGCACAGGAGGGTGTTGTCTCTACAGTGGCACTGTCTCAGTGTGAACAGGTTACTGCCACCCCTGCTTCCCTCTTTCTGCGAGCTCAGCTGCTTGCGGAGTTAACAGTTGGGACGATGGATGTATTCACATCCATGGCTGCAGTGTCTGAGGTGCCATGCTCCAGCACCCCTGTTCATGAACTGCGGTCAGGGAGAGGTGCCAGTTCTCACCAAGGTGCAGTATGGGAGTATCTGCCTCAGGAGAGCTCTGTGCAGGAAACAGGCAGATGTAAGAAACTGCCTGTGTCTGGTGGGATTTCAGCACAGTTTGCATTAGCAGCTCTGTTCCCAGAGCAGCGTGAGGCATCTGGGAAAGGGCTACAGCAGGCCAAAAGGGCTAACAGAAGAGGTTCAAGAAAGCTGGGAGTTGCCTTCAGAAGGTGGGATGGTGGCTCTGTATTTGGCACCTGGCTTGTAATTCAACTGCCACTCTCGCTGTTAAAATAAGCTGCTTAAGTATTTGATCTTTCTTGTTTCTGGATGCACAGGTCCTGCGTAGCTGCAGCAACAGCTCTAGGCCGCTTTACGTCTCGGTGGGGCACAGGGTGTGCCTGGGGACAGCTGTGCGCCTGGTCCAGTCCTGCTGCCGGTACCGCATCCCGGAGCCCATCCGCCAGGTACGGGAGCAGGGAGCTGAGGAGCAGCCTGGAGCAGAAGAGCGAGCGGTGGAGGGGCTGTGGGTGCCGAGCCTGTCACGATGTTTAAGGGCCTCTGCAGCTGGCACCCTCTGTTCTAACCTGTTCTCCCAGACTGCTGTGGTGACGCAGTGCCCCCAAGCACATCCAGCCCTTACTGCAGACCCAGCCTGACTGATCTCTTGGTTCCTTTCTGCAGGCAACTGCTGTGATGCTGATGTTAATACACATGCTGGAAATGCAGTTTTCCTGGGCACTCTGAGCCTAGCACAGACTGTGGGGTTGCTTCTCTGGGCTTTTCCCTGCTACTACACTCCACAAGGAACTGGAGGCTCTGGGGCAGCAGCCAGCCTGTAGGTGACAGCACTGGATCACCATCAGTGAGCCACAGCTATCACCAAGACTCAGCTTCAGACTAATTAAATCACAGCAGGGTTTGAGGAAAGGATCTGTGGAAGTGTAAAGCCTCTGGGACTTCAGCCTGGCGAGTGCTTCCCTTCTTGCAGGGTCACCCCGCTGTTAGTGGCTCAGGCAGGCCAGAGCAGGGCCTGTTGGAATGTCTGTGGTGGTGCTGTTGCCCTGGAACACACTGTTCACGTTGCTGCAGCACCACACTTGTCAGGTGTGTGGCCACCTTTGCTCTCCAGCTCCTCAGAGCCATGCTAAGGTGATGCTGCTGAGGCTGTTGTGCAGTCTGCACACAGGAGCTTCTCGTTGGTGCTGCAGAACATGTTTTCTTAAAACAGAGCCTTGAGTCTGTAGTTATAAACCAGACACAAATCTAACACCTCAGAGCAAAACAAACCTTGAAGTGTCCATACCAGAACGGGGGTTTCTAATCCCATAAACCACTACCTGCCAGACGGGAGTAGGCTGAGAGATTTTCTTATGTAATCTCCTCCAGCAAGGGACAGATGCCTCTGCAGAGCTCTGAGCCAGCTCTGAGCCAGCTCTGCAAAGCGGCATGCTCAGAGGGAAGGGGAAAGGCATTCCCTTTGGAAACAAAAAGGTGTCTTGAAGCTTTTCATCACCCTCATTTCATTTCCAGCTATCTAGGATTTGTCTGTGTTCTGAGACTCTCCCAGTCCTCTAGCTGCAATCTTGATTTGGAGTGATGGAATGAATTGTCACTTTCCTTGCAGAGATTAAAAATCCAGAAGGGAGTGTGTTTACTGTAGAGGTAGAGGGATGGCAGGAGAAAAGGGCACTTAAAATGGGACTTCTCCCTGTTGCAGTTCCTCTGTGTGGTAACTCACAGATCTTGACACAGAGCAGTGCTGGAAGCCTCAGCTCTGGAGCACCTCAAGGTGGAGTTAGGAAGTGGATGGCTGTGGGGGATCCTGCCTTGGCCTTTTGCTGTGGTGTGTCCCCAGCACAAGCTTGCAGACCTGATGGGTGATGGGGCTTATGGCTTTCTCACTCGTGAAAGACTTCTGAATCAGCAGCTCTTAGTTTGTAAGTTCTGGTAGTCTTGGAAGTATGTTCTTAACAGAGCTGTGCTGCCCATACCTTCTTGAGGCTGGGCTTATAGCTTGTATGCTGCAGCACATGTAGTGCTAGGAAGCTCTTGTGGGAGCTCAGACCTTCTGCTTTCCTAGAGGTATGGCTGACCCATCTGTTCAGGGTGTATTGTGCATGCAACAGCCTCCAGGCAGTGATCAGAAGTGGTTTGATTTGCATTCAGCCCACACTGTGGCCATGCTGCCAAAGGTGAGAGAAGTGATCTCTCCGAGAAAGCAGTCGGTATTTACCTCCCACTTAGTCCTTACTCCATGTGGAAGTACCAGGCCAATCTGGGAGAATTTTGCTTGCATGGGGGTGATCTCTTGTGAGATGTTGAGGTTCTTCTGTAGAGAGTTGGTTATATGGAGACAGCCAGACAGGGACTGAGGTAGGCAGGAGCTGTCATCCCAGGACAATAAGCAAAGCACTCAAACTGAGTGGCAATGGAGCCATACCGAGCCCTCCAGAGAGCAACTGCCCTTGCCTGCTTCTCGCAGAGGTCAGAGGGCCTCTCCAGTGCTTACCCACGCTCCCGGCCTGCTCAGAGCCAGGATCACTACACACAGCAGGGCAACAGCAGCTTTTAACACTCTCCAGCTGAGAGGATTGCACTGGGTCTGACTCTGGCTCTCCCTGCTCCAGGTTCCTGGCTGGCTGCACACCAGCCTCCAGCTCACTTGATGATCCTTTTAGCTCCAGCTGGCACCTTGCCTCTACTGGCTCAGAATGGGGCTGGTGGGACAGCCTGGTTGCTCCAGCCCACCAGGGAGGGCAGGAGCCTGCCTGGAGCTGTGGGTATGGCACTTCATGTGAAATATCAAACACATGCCCTTAGGAGAACCAAGGAATGAGCCATCATTCCTCTTTGCATGAAGAACTCCTGCTGCCCAGCAGGGAAATCAGTAGCTGATGCCCTGAAACTCCAACTCTCTTCAGTTGTACCCCCACCCAGCTTGCTGTGTGCACAGGGATCACCGCTGCCCCTCACAAAACAGGCAAAGCAACAGTTCCAGACCCTAATGCTAGGACTAGTTCCCTCTGAAAATAGAAACAGCCTGTGAGGATTATTTCTGGACTGTTATCCATCTTATTGATGAGCCTCCTGGTTAATCGCTGGGTTAAGCTGTGCCTCAGTGCTGTGTTAGGAGTGAGGACTGGCCAGTAACTTGCTACCTAATCAGGCACTGGCTTATGTGACCAGCACAACGTGGTAGGGTTTTCTTCCCTAGAAAAATGGTTTGTAGATGTGACTCTTGCTACCTTGGTCTCCCAGTAGGGGCTTTATTGAACAGCCTCCTTCCCTGTTATAAAATACATCACGTAATCTCTTATCCTGAAGAGTGATCAAAGTTATTTGTCAGTTCAGTTATGAAACTGTCCAATTATAGAGAGAAGGGAAAAAAAAAATCTCCCAAACAAACCATCCCTTATGTAACTGTGTTTCATTCTCAGGCTTGCAGATGGTTAAGCAGTGGTGGATGAGTGTTTCCAGCCCTGAGCCCACAGAGCCTCCACTCCAGAGGCCTGATGGAGCCATGCTGGGTGCTTCTGGAGGGGGGGAAAAGCTCTTCAGAAGTAGCATAGGGGTGGGAGTAGCAAATGCTTCACTGCCACTGGGGGATGCATTAACCCCCTTTATTAGCATGATCATGGTGTGCTCTGAAGCTTTCCCAGCTGGAAAGGTCACATACTGCTTTTTAAGTGGAGAGAGACACTCTGCCTCTGAGGAGGGGTACAGCAGCGGTTCTAAATGCCGCAGAGCAGCAGTGGTTTTGAGAAAGGAAGTTTCTAAAAAAGACAGAAACCTTTGAGGGAATGTAAAAATCACCTGCCAATTCCCAAAGTCCTCCAGAGCCCAGGATCCACGTGCTCGTGAGCATCTTGGAGTGCTCTGCTAGCATGGTGCAGCACTGGAAAGCTGCACGGTAACACTTCTGGGACTAAGAACATGCTGTAAATCTCCAGCAGCACTTTCTTCCAGCTCTTGGGATTTCTGTTGGTGCTGTCTTTGCCCCACTCTGCCTTGCTGCTGAGACACAGAGTGCTAAGACACAGCCATCTCGTTTTCCTGGTGAGCTCAGGAGTCACAGGAGAGCATGTTGGAAGAGGAAGGGAGGAGCTGGACCCGTGTAAGGATGGTTTTGATGAGGTTTGGTGATGGCTCCAAGCTCAGTTTCAACAGGGAGGGCAGTAAACATCAATTTGGTAGGGTCTCAACATTATTCCTTTTGATTCTGGTACGGGAAAACAGAGCCCAGAGCACAGTTATGGCCTGCATGTAAACTGCTCCCGTCGTCTTCCTTGGCAGCTTTGCCTTTGGACTCCTAAGTACGACAGTGTGAAAGGTGTGTCAGTCTCTTGCCTTGCAGCTGCTGCCAGGGATGTGCTTGTGTCTTGTCTCTGTTGGTTTCCAGTGGGTGTTTTACCTGCTTTAGCTGCACAATCCCCATGCAGTGCCAGCCCCTCGAGCGCACAGGCAGGGTGAGCCAAGCTTTGCCTAGGAACAGGAGATGCAGCAGACGAGTGGTGAGCTTCCTCCATCTGTTGCTGCACAGCACAACTGCTGGAACAGAGGAAGGAAAGGATGAGTACATGAATGGGCGATGCCAGCTTCTCTCTGTTCATCCCATGTCCTCTTGAGAACTCACCTTCTGGACTGCTGTGCGCCCAAGTGATCAGGGCATGTGATCCCTTGATGGAGTGAGGGTGGTAGGGCAGCTTCTGTGCGTTCAGTGGGAGAGCTGGTTTACTTTCTGGAATGTCTCCTCTTGAGGGAAGGAAGACTTACCCTGCCCTCAAGTCTCTAACAAGTCCGTTCCGTCTCTCATCAGACATTGATGAGCTGTTGCTGGGGAAGGCCTGTGAAGGAACTTTGCTGCTCATTATGTTTCCCTGCATTGCACTTGGAGGTGCTTACGTGTGGAAGGGGTCATTTGGGTCAGTTCAAAGGATGAAAGCACTGGACCAGTCTCAGACTCCCAGGTCTCCTCCAGTCTGGCTCTGCTGCCAGGGTTCATCAGAGAGGGCAGCAGTTCAGGTACAGCATGAAGGCTCGCTGCGTTGCAGTGTGTGCTGGAAGCCTGTGCTAGCTCATCCTCTGGGTCCCAGAGGGACCCTTGGGTGAGGCTGATGGCACTCAGCAGCAGCTGATTTGCTGGAGAAGTCCAGGCTGGGTCCTGCTTTGGCTGTTCCTCCTGCTGTGATTGGGGTGGGTCACGGTGGAGCAGACCTTAGACAGCTGCTGGTGGCAACTGTCTGAGCCTGATGTCTCACCCACCCTGGGACTCCGGCGAGGAGTAAAGGAGCAGACAGCAAGGGTTCAGCAGATGTCATTTCTGCTTCTGAAATGGACCGTAACTGCAGTATGGCTTTTGGTCCAGCACGCTCTGTTTCTTCATTTTAAGTCTCCATTCTCCCAAGCAGCTTGCACTGAGGCACAGAAACCAAACAAGGAAAGAAACATGCAGGTTCCTCTTCACACCGCAGTCATACAAGAGCTATTTGTGATGGGGTGTGCAGGGGCATTCTGAGATGGGAAAGGGGAGGCCCTGAGCAGGCTGATCAATCCATTTTCACTCCTTTTCCTCCTTAATTCCAGGCTGACATTAGATCGAGGGAGTACATTCGGAAGCAGCTGTGTTCACCGCTGGAGGTCGTGTCTTCTGGGGCGCTGAGGTGGGTGTGTGGGCAGCTGCCTCCCCAAAGGGATCTGCTCATGTAATGATCTTCAGTAATGGCATTAAAGGGACAGGCTGGGTAACAAGGTGAGCTCAAGTGACATCAGGACGTTTGCTGCCTCCACGGAGGGTGATTTCTGGTGATGGTTCCTCACACACCTCTCTGCTGGGTGCTGTGTCCCAGGCTGGGGAAGGTCGTTGGGGATTTGGTGCGTTTCCGGTGCCTGCAATAAGCACCAACGCCTACAGGTGTGACACGAGGGGACAGAAATACCCTGTGGGGAGCTGGCTTCTGCCCCCGGAGAGCAGGGGAGGGCCAGCCCCGGCCCCCCCCTTACATAACGTGGGCCAGTGGCTGCTCTGATTAGTGTATATCTGTAGCAAGTCCATTGAGGTGTATAGGAGCTCCTTTGTGTTGTGGCTACGCTGCCTCCTCAGCACCATTCACAAGAGCGCTGTTGGGTTCAGACCTACACCAGTACCAGGCACCAGAGAGCCCTCCCTCAAGAGCTGCTCGGGGATGAATGAAGCATGTCACGACCCAGAGCCTGCCGTGCTCTGGAGGTCCTGATGGACCAGGAGCAGTGAAGGTTGTGGTGGCAGTAGTGAGTGATTACTTACACTGACTGGGGCAGCTCTGACAGATTCCCTAGGACAGCCAGATGATGTAACTCATTGTGCTCTGCTCAGCTCCATTATTCTTTGGGTCATGCAGGCAGAGGTGAAAGAAGGGGCTTTCTCTGCTCTACTACTCATAGCAGTTGCACAGCATGGCCAGGCCATGGGGTAGCCCTGTGCAGAGCCAGGCTGGGCGTCCCCGGTTTGTGCTGGAGCTTTGTCTCTAACACCTTCCTGCCGTGGCAGGTGCCGCAGCTCACACAAAGGCTTAGGTGGTTTGGAGGTCTGTGCAACAGCAAAACTAAACTCATCCCATTTATGGCCGTGTGTCTCAAAACCTGTGAATGTGAGCCCCTTATTCACCAAGTGACTTAGTGATGGGGTCTTCTTGCTTTCTACTTTCTTTTCTGACCCTTCCTTGTCTTCCTTGTTTGTTGCTAGCAGAAAAAAGGAGGCTGGGCTGGATGATTAGGATGATGCCAGAAGAAAATGCAGGACTGCTCTTCACTGGATCCTCTCCTCCACCAAGACTGTGGGTCTGTCAAATGCCATCCCAGGGGAGAGCAGTGCAAGGCCATGTCAGTCAGGACATGGTGCATGGTTCAATGGGGCAGGCACCAGCTTCTGTTGAAGGATAATGTTTAGAATATATTTCTCAGGGTTTATTTTTAAGCATTGTAAAAATATTTGTGTAAGTAAATACCCTTGTAAGTTTGCAACAACTGGCTTGAGTACTGGGGAAATGCCAGGAGGTGACTTACAAAGAGATGCTGAGGCACTTAACAGAGTTCTAAACCAACTCCAGCGCTGGCCTTTGGCACCCACCACCCCTCTGTGGTACAGACACTTCCCTTCTCATCATTCTGGAGCAGCTTCCACCCCTGTGCTCACGTTATTCCCTCTGCACGTCTCTGGGGAACAGAAGCTCCGGCTGGTCCCGACAGACGGGCCGAGGACGTCGGCTTTGAGGTGGGCGAGTGACTCATGCAGAGAAACGGAGCCAAGAGGCTGCTGGGGAGAGCTGTGAGGTCTGAGCTCTGGTACAGGAGAGCTCCTGTCCCTGGTGCCAGTGCCTCCCGCGTGCCCTGTGCCACACAGCGGCCACCACGCTCGGTGGCTGTGTCTGGGTGATGTCTGTGCTGGGGACACGGTGCTCCAGTGGTGGTAGGGATGTGCTCTGCACTGCACGGCTCAGCTGGAGGGGCACTGTGGTACCCGGTGTTGCTGTCACCCTCTGCAGGGCTGAGGCAGAGCACTTGGTGCAGACCAGCTCTTCCTGAAGAAACAGCATCTCAGGAGAGAGGAGAATTTCCCACCAAGGAGGATGGGGAGGAGGGTCCTTCCCATACACCAATCAGTCAGCGCAGGCAGTCCCAGGCCGGAGGTTCTGCAGTTGGAGTGGACCAGGAGCACTCGTGTGTGGTTTTCACTGCCCAGCATACACCAGCACCCACCAGTTAAGCCATTTGTGAAGCTTTGCTGTAGCAGCAGAGCACTGAGCAAACAGCTTCTATCCCTGAATCAATGCAATGAGGCTCCTCCAGTCTGCACAGCTCAAGTGTACCTGCTTGGGGTTCCTGGTTCTCTTTGGCAGGGTGTTCCTGACTGGTCCTGAAGAACAGCAGGAGCAGAGACAGGAGCCAAAACTCTGGCATGTTGATGTAAAAAGCCACAGCTGTGTAAGATTCCAGGCTGAGGAGCAAGAGAGCAGTTTTCCCAGGACAGGAGGGGAGTGCTGGGGGTCAGGGCTCCTGGGGCTGGTTTAGATGCTGCCAAGTGCTTCACTTTGCATAAATTTCTCTTGCAGCTTCTGTTGCTCTTCTCTCACTGCTCGGTCTCGGTGCTGTGGTGGGTGTGAGGACTTCGGCCCCTTTCATGTGCCTGTGCAGCGTCTGCTCAGCCAGAGCCTCAGCTGGTTCCTCCTTCAGTGCTACACCCCGGAATGCAGGTGGCACAGAGGGAGGAAGCACCGAGGAAGCTCCCCCAGGGGCTGTATGGGGAGCTCCGGGCCGGTCCCTGGGGATGCTGAAGGTGCTGCCCAGGTGCTTCCCAGAAACCCCTCCTGAGGGATGTGCTCTGAAACACAAAGCCAGCGGCAGCTGCAGTTCCCAGGCCCCGGGGGCAGCCCCATGCCTCCTGGGAAGCCTCAAAGCCCTTTTCATGCAGGAGGTTGGTCTGTGGGTGGGCAGAGGGAAGGGAGGAAATGCTGCAGTGGAAGCTCCTTGATCCCAGTGATGTGGGGGGATCAGAGGGGCAGCCTGGGCACTGCTAGAGGGGTGTGGGAGGCGGGTGGCAGGGAAGGGGATGTGGAGGCAGCACCTCCTCTGGCACAGCCGTGTCTCCCATCCCGAGGGAGCAGGTTGGAGACGGAGCCTCCTAAAAGGCAACTGTGCTGCCTGCCAGCGTGAGGAAGCAGTGAAAGAAGGGAATGCTGTGGGAGAGGTCCAGGTGCTGCATCCCAGCCCAGGTGGGATGTGGAGGGGACGCTGGCAATGACCCACAGGTGGAGGAATGGGAGAAGGAGCTGCTGCAGCCGGGATGCCCTTGTCAGGGAGGAGAATTACTCTTGTACTGAGCAGCTCTGGCCACAGCTCTTCCCCTGCGAGGGGAAGCTCAGTCTGGCTTAAGGAGGAAGGGTTTGCTGCACATGGAGCTCTGCTGGGTGGGAGCCCAGCACCCTCTGAAAGCACCTCCTGTGCCCCCTGCCTCAGCACACACTGAGGGGCTCCAGCTCTCCATTCCCTTTCTGCCAAAGCTGATGGATTGGGGTGAGCACTGCTGAGAGCAGGGGGATGAACCAGTGAGTGCTTACTGGTGTGGGGCCTTTCCCAGCTCCTCCCAGGAGCCCGGGACCACTGGCAGCACCAACCAGTTCATCCATTTCTCCTTCCCACCCCACCATGAAGCAGAAACATCACAGGGGCTGCTGGAGCCTGCACAGATTGTGGCCCAGAAGGCACCTGTGGGCAGGGGACTCCTGTTTCTTCGCTCTCATGGGCAGAACACCAGAGAAATCCACCTGGGTTTGCTGCTTACCTTGGTCCAGGCTTTGCTGGCCCAGGGAGCAGCCAGCACCGGCCCAGGCTCCTCCCAGACTCACACCACTCCTGCTGCAGATGGACCTTAGGGTGCTGAGCACCTCCCTGGGGTCAGCTGTGCCCGAGCAGGGGGCTGATGGGGCCGTGCTCTGGGGCTGCTCTGCTGGAGGAGGAGGCTCCTCAGCGTGTGGGGTTTGGTCCCTCTGAGCTGGCTCTGCTGTTGGAGCGGGTGAGTGCCTGCGGCTCTAACGCATCGGTGATTCTGAGTGCTTCTGGTCGGGGTTTGCCACGAGCAGGTTGGGCAGGGCTGGTCACTGGGAGCTGGGCAGCAGAAGGGGCGAGCTGGGCCGAGTCAAACCCAGGTTCTCAGTCAGGATGTGGGGGTCTCACTGTTCTGGCTCTGCAGCTGGGGTTTGCCTCTTCCCTCTTTGGTACCTGGGAGGCCTGTGCAGTCCTGCAGGAGAGCTGCTGTGTCCCAGCACTGGTCTCATTCTGAATGCAGGGAAACCCCTGAGATTGAAGTCACCCGCGAGGGGTTCAGGTGCAGGATGGGGGCTGCTGTGATGGGGGGAACCTCGCACCCCCCCCCAGGCCCAGGCTCTGTTCTGCTGGGCTCAGGGCTCACCCTGCTCCTGGCTGCCAGGCCTGGGCAGGGGTTGAACAAGGGCCTAATCTCTGTGTTTGGTGTCTACTTGTGGCTCTCTGAACACAGTAAGGGATTAACTTGGTCTTTATCTAATTGGCTTATGAAGGAGGGAAGGGAAAATCGCTTTGTAACGCATGAAACCTCCTCTAATAGAAACTCCGGGACTAGAGCTCCAGCGTCCTTCCCAAGTAAGCCCATGAACATCTCTTCCTTTAACCCTCTGTTTGCTGGAAATGAGCTTTTCTGGGTGTATTCATTCTCTGGTTCCCAACAACTCAGTGCTGCCGTGTTGTAAAGCTTTGCCTTTCCTTATTGCCAAGGATGCTTTTCTCTATGGCTGCTCAGGAGCCTCTGAGCAGGTCTCATGGCTTGGGAGCTCCTGAGTGCTGCTGGTGAATGGGGCATTGGGTTGGAGCTATGGGATAACAACAGCAGTGTAAACATCTGGGATATCGATGGGAAGAAGCAATAGAATGGAGTGAAACCGAAGGGGGAGATTGAGGAAGGAGACTGAATCCTCTTGTGGCTGCGGTGGGGGCTCTGCAAGGAGAGCGCTGTTGGGGTGGTTCTTTAGCGTCTCACTACGGTGAAACAGCGCCTGGGGGCCGGGTTGGCGCTGGCTGCCTTTGGTTAAACCCTCCTGGCGCAGCGGCTGCTGGCAGCGGGGCTGGGCTGGGCTGGGCTGCGCCATCCCCGTGCTCCCGCTCGCTCTGTGCCACCGGGGTTTGGGTTTCCTGGCTCCCGGCTGCGCTCCCCGCGGCCCCAGGGCCGCTCCGCAGCGCGATTCCTGCCGGCGCCGGGCCGCGTCCTGCCCCGCCTGGAGCGCGCTGCTGCGAGGGGATGTGCGGGGAGGGAACGCCTGGAGCCGCCCGTTCTTGGCAACGCTCGGACGTGCGGGGCCTGCGGGCGGGCCCGGCCCCGGTGTCCCCCACGGACGGGGCTGCGCGTCCCCAGCTCCGCGGGCACTGCCCGCAGCCGGCTCCGGCCGCCGGGAATCCGGGCAAACCCGAGCCCGTTCCCCTTCTGAACCCGGGGCTGCTTCAATGGGAGCCTCTCAGCTGGTCCCGAGAGCTCCTGCGGGCGCTGGTTTCGCGGGTTCATTCGCTCTCTGGGGATGGGAAGTGAGACGGAAGATTTGTGCCAGTCCAGATGAGTGATGTGCTCTGCTCCGGATCTGCTTCCTCCGCGTGTGTTGTGGATGCAGGGATCGGGAAGGAAGATCTCTGCACGTGAACTGCTTACCTGGGGTCCCTTGAGAAGGGAGAGACAAGGCTTTAGGGTGCAAGTCTGCTCCCTCTGGCTCCTAAGGGAGCGGAGTAACTCAGTCACAGGTGCCTGGTGAATCCCCTCCTCCGTGTCTGGAGCTTGTGGTAGGCTGGATGCTGCGGGTGCAGTTTGTGTTGTGAGGGCTGAGCAGGGTGACTCAAGGTTTGTATTTTGGGACACTCAATGCTGAGGCCAGAAGTGCTTTTGCTGGGATTTCCCTCCTCCACCCCAGTTTCCTCTCCTCTTTCATCCTATAACCATCTCCTCTCCTCCTATAAGCAGTTCTCCAACCCAACTGCTCTTCCGTTTGCTGGGCTCTGGTTCTCCTCTGACATTGGTGCAGACACCTCCTGCAAGGCCCCGGCTTTATTTTATGGCCATATTAATTAAAAGCAAATGAGTGGAATTTCTCTTGACACCCAAATTAATGGCAGATGTGCTCATTATGAGCTGGGTCATGAGGGTGATGGAGCAGCCTGTACAGGCTCAGCCCAGGAACAGGCAGCAGATCCGCAGTGCGTGCACAGGCATCTTGGGGAGGTTTGGGCTGTGCTGGAGCATCCTGAGAGGTCACTGGGGAGGAGAAGGCCGTGGGGAGAGTGATGGCAGTAAAGACCCAATTCCTTTGTGGTACCCACTCCTCCAGACCCAGGATAACAGCATCTGCCTGCCTGGAGGAGAACTGGTTGATGTGGGCCTCGGTGGGCAGAGGTGAAGCTGTGCTTGAACAGATCATCATGGACCCACACGAGAGCACAGCAGGGGCTGGGGG